CCTTTTTTGAATAATTAAATAATTATAGAACAATTTTCCTATTAAAGTTTTATAAATATTCTTCACCTTAATTAATTTCTTAATTTTTATTCGATTTCTATGATTTGGTTTTACTTGTAAACAATCAATCAATTCAAGACTTCACAGGAAAAAAAATTGTAGCACATATTCAAATTTAATTTAATTTATTGATTACCAGAAGGTTTCATTGGAAGGAGAGATTTGAGCTTTAGTGGAAAAAATTGAAAAATTGTTACACAAATTCCACACATTAAGCCTAGGTTACTAAGCAGTTTCTAATGAGACCACCTATTGAAAATCACTATTTAATTATAATTTGGAAGTAGTACTACCTTCAGTAGGCATAATTCTTGAAAGCTTCAACTTAAAATAACTTAAAATATTTTCATTTGCAATATAAATTCATAAAATTAAAAAAAAAGTTTATCTTAATAATTGAACGATCAAGTATCTTATAGATATGTTGCAAACCAAAAGTAGTCCTTTAACAAACGTTCACATATTTATATACCTACAGTATAAAATATGTACATTCATACAAAATAGCGAACTGCATATGTCTATCTTCAAGTTCTCTTCGCCTTCCATGTAAAAGAAACACTGCTCTACAGTTGCAAGGGCGTATGTCCAGTCTACTTGTCTTCGGTACTGAAACAACCACCGGTATCGTAAACAGGTGATAATTTGTGTACCTACCACCGTGTTCGATGACATTAAGTGTGGGCAAGCAAAGTGTTGATGACATTATTTATTAACTTTGCCAGCAAATAAAACAATCACTTAATTATATTTTAATTTATTTATAATGTGATCGTCTGACATAATAAATATTCAACTCGTTTAAATGAAATTCTAAGATCACCAACTGAACAAACTGGTATCCACTAATTAAAGAAAATTTATTTAAAATGAACAAATTAATTCACTAACTTTTAATTAATTGAATTGCTAATAAAGTTTCAGTTTAACGTTAACATATCCTATGTGATTATATAGTATATGTATTATAATATTATTTTTAATTATTTATAATATAATGCAAGTAATGAAGGCTATCCTTGACTATTATGAAGTCTATTACAAATCTATCAACAGAAGTGGGGTCTGAAGATCAAATTTTTGTGACACTGCGTATATTGAGGCACTATTATATCCTGTCCCATCTATAAACAATGAGGGATTTTTTCACATCAGCTGTATCCAGAAAAGTTTTGATCTTTTTCATGTCAATGTTTGACCACTCTGAATAGTGGATCAAGTCTTTGTAGAAAATTTTTCTTCTATACTGTAAAGAAGTAGGGCATTCTGCAAGGATATATAAGTATATTCCATTGTCTTTAATAAATAGTCTGATTTCGTCGATTGTCGAAAAGTTATGTTAAATTCTTATTGTGGTTACAACTCGCAGTTAAGTCGTTAAGTCTCGCAGGGAGGCAGTTAAGTCTTAATGAGGCAGTATATATTTTTTCATGAAAGGTCTTATAACTGACCAAAAATAACAAGAACGGATGTTTTTTCTCAGTCATGGAAAACCATTGAAATTGAAAATCCTACACGGTGCAGTGAATTGTAAATTACTTATTGAAAATTCAATTCGATATATTGTTACCTTTTCATATAAATTTACACTTATGTTACCAATAAAGCACATAATATTTACTTTAAGGTCATTGCTGATTAATTAATATAAAACCAATTATTTAACATAGCCCCCAAAGAAAAAAATCCAGTTAAACGTCACAACGTCTTGACCTAACATTGGCATTTCTATAGAATTTACGATTACAGAACTTTTCTATTAAGAAATTAATTGTACTACTGATGTATGACATGTCGTTTTATTTTGTTCAAATAATATACCGATAATTTATCCGATATCTGAGCTACATGACCCTTACAGTGATAAAAGTGGGAATCATTTGTCGTATTAATACCACGTAGCTATATTCACATCATCTGGATAGTTCAAAATACTCACAATACCTCGAATCTAACCTAAACCTAACTCAATAAATTTAATAAAACTAAAATCTTGTTTCTCTAGTGACCTTTGCTCACAGTTAGTGCAATATCAAAACTATTTTTAAATAAAATACAGTTCAGTAAAACTTTAAGAATGATACCCACCCATCGATCTGTACCTTCCTGCACTTGAGCGGTATTATCTCCTCCCAGCTACATAAACCTCACAGTGATTACTGTCGCACCAATACTATGCAACTAGATTAACATAATCTATATTTATATATAATATATAATATATATATATATTACATATCTATATATATATATTATATATCTCTCCACAATACTCTTCTTCACTTCATAATTAAGGGTAATTGGTTCTTTTATTACCTGCTTTTCTTGACGACTGAGTTCAATACCTAATATATTCTGTGATTATCAAAATTAGTAGTTTGATATTTTTAATAGCCTAATAACTCTAACTTTTGCTCTTGATAACTGGGATTTTGATCTTTATGGTATAATCGCTGGAATCTGCATTATTCATTAATAGGAGTTGGTTTTATTGGATTCTACTATTGTGATTTTTGGTGCTTTCAACTCATCAGAAAAAAAACATTAATCGTAGGAATGAAGTATTACGTTAAAAACATCTTAGGTTACTTCAGTTATTAAGAATAATAAGAGTTATATATTTTCAATTTTTTTCTTTTATATCAGAAATATCATACCTTGTTATATTTATCATTCAAATTGACATGATCGGCTTTGGAAACTGTAATAATATTTTCATATTCGAAAAAACAATGATCAAATAATATCTCCATAACATAAACCGCTTCGAAAAGTTAGTTTTTAAAGATCTAAATGGGTTTCATGATGTAAGGTGTAGTTATCTTCTGATGAAGACGTGACCGTGACCGTGAAGTTGATAAATTACGTGGATCCGTTATTTGCAAGACGTAAAACCCGATAATTTTCATTATTTTTTAAATAATTTTAACTGTTTCTACATTAGTATGTACTGTATAACTATATATCCTCTCATAATGCAATGTACCAGACCGCACTAAATACAAAATATCTATTAGTGAGAATCCGAAAATTAATTTCTGTAATGGTGTCTATAAACTAATTCTTTAATAATAAACACCTGTATTTATTTTTGAAACTCATTACTTTATAATTTTTTTAATATATTAAGAGGAAGAGAGATTCGAACCAAGAGTTGAGTATTCATTCATAAGAGTTTAATATAAGTGTCAGTCAGTCGGGTACTCTAATTTTTTTTTTTTTAAAGATATATATTTATTCACTTAAACATAACATGAGATATGCGGAAATGACTTTCGCTCCAAGTAGCAATTGTTTTGAATAAAGTGGATCGAGCAGATTCAGTCTCAACATTCTTATCAATTGCTTTTGAGAAAATGAAAACATTACAGGCCTACGCTAAACTCAACTATCAATTAATATTTTAATTTCTACGATTAAGAAATTGTCATAAGTTTCTTATCTCTTCCAAATGTTTTGTGATGAACACATAATAAAATTGTTTTGATTTAGTCTGAAGTTGTCATCGTTTGAACTCGGTTTATTGTTTCTACGCTCCGGACGAAAAGTTAAACTTTTTATTAAAGTATCTATTAGTAAATAGAATCGCAGCAAATTACATCATACACGGATTCTAAACAATTATTAATAAACAAAAATGAAGATAATTTCTTTACTGTTAATAGCATTTATCACATGGCTGGATTGCAGTCAGGCCCACATTGCTAATATGGTTTGCTTCTATGACGCAACAAATGCACAGAAAGGTAAGACCGAATGCAGAACGTAAAAATTTCAAATAAATATTTTGAATTGCAATTAATTAATAGTAAAATGAGTTAGTTTATTATATGAAAACGATATGACAATTATACTAATTTGTTATTATAACTGGTATAACCCATGTTGTTCTACTAAACTTAAGTAAAACCAACCTAATACTTCCCTTTTTCATACAAAGGGTGTATTTATAAATGAAGAAATTAGCATCGATATTGACCGGTAGCGTCTACAGGACCGTCTTTAAACCCACTAATGTGATCGTAAAAATTAATTATGAATTCGCAATTCAAATATAAGTGAGAACTATAATGTTTCAACATTAAATTAAGAACTATTGGTAACTAATCATCTATATTCTTCTTTCAGTATTTGAGTCAAAGATATATAAAACTTAATTAAATGAAAAGCAATAATAAATTAATTGAATAAATCTAAAATTTAATATACAATTATTATGTACTAAAACTGTCTTGTTAGCCGAGAAACAAATTGCAAGAATGAAAATAAAATCTATTGCACTATCAGCTCAAATACGAAGGTTATCATATTTCATTGATCTAATTCTGTGAATATTAATTCAAAACATAATATTTATTAAAAAAAATACAAAACTTCTCTTCCATTACGTAGACATACAGGGATATATAGATGGAGGGGCGGTTTCTCAAAACAAATCCAAATTTTATGTGAAAACATTTAATTGAAAAAAATTTCATGTGTGATGTACCATATTTCGACATATTTTATGAAATTGGAATTCCAAATCTCTCTTTCGTATACGTCACTGTAGATACCTCTTCATTGCTATTATATTAGATTTAAAATTTGGGACTTTCGATTTTGAACTTTTGATCAATAAAAAATTAATCACCGGATAACAATATTTGGATTTAAGAAAAACTATGCAGTTCATATGAAGTTGAATTTAGGTCCTGTATATTAAGTCAATACTTTACCTATGTACCATAAACTATATATACCACTCTACGCAAGTATATATAGTTTTAATAGTTTTGTTTCCACATATATTTTTTTAAATATCGGTTTTTACATATTTATGATATGTCAGAGAAGAGAGATAACTGTTTGATCAACTTATTGTAATATAGGTGCTACATATTGTCGAATATTTCATTCGTGCCGACTTACCGTTATATCATACCGGATTCATAATTTATCATTTTAAAAAACTTCATACAAACAACTTAAACACCCAGAGTATTATTTCTCTGGTAAAAAACAGTTAAGGATGTATCATTAGTTCCAAGTTATCAACTCTGTGCATAGCTTCGTTATATGTCATAGCATAAATTTTTTCCACATTTCCTTAAAAGATTATGTTGTGTTAAGTGTTGTTTAACAAATCACAACTACACAGCAATTAGATATTAAGATTTATAAAAAATTTAATAAATTTAATTGGGTTACATTATGTTGATTCTATTGATTTGATTGTCAACGTAATCCACCTATAAACCCTACTATTTTGAATGTAAATGCAAAATTTAGATCAAATGGTATTGTTGTAATGTCAAGAACCTAACCTATCAAAAATGTAAACATACTATTAAATAATCTTGAACCAAAGTGTGGAAAAAAAATCGAATACAATCTATTAGACCTCATTGTCAACAACTTAAACTGTCTCATAATATCACAAAGAGTACTCTTTGTACAGGTTAGCATTATAAAATGTATAAAATACAATTAATCTAAGAAACATAATCATTAGATATATATACAAATTTTGCAGACTGGGCTTTAAAGCAATATGTCATAAACAAAATTATTTCCTGCTATGAAAATCTCTACTAGTTAAATAAATTTGTACATAAACAAAATTGTCCTATTTCGAGCGAAGAAACCTCACTATTTACTCATGAGATCCATTTAGATTTAAAGAAATTAAACATTATTAGTGGTTATTGATCTAGAGATGTTATTAGATATTTATTTCTTTGAGAATAAAAATAACGTTGGAGTTCCAATCACTAGAGAAATCACAATAATTCTGATTGTCGTTTCCACAAAAATTGTTAAGAACTTATAGTTCTTTTTCGATCACTCTATGTAACACCTATGAACCTTACAAGGTTCATGAAGCTTCAGTAGCATAGAAAATGGATCATTAAAGAGATCCAATCAAACACATGAGTTATAATTGATTATATATAATACGTAGTTAAAGTAATTAAATACCTTGTTTCTTACTTAATACACTGCATATAAGTCACAAAGATACAAAGACATCAGATCCATCATATTATAAAGCCCCGTATTCAATTATTCTTAGTGTGACTTAAAACTGTCCACAGATAAAATAGAGTAAAGGTGCTGATTCACCAACTCAGACATCTGAATATCAACTTAACACTGCATATAATTTGTTATGCCGTATAAATATCCATAAGTATACATGAAGACCATAGTAATGCTATTTTTTAGCTCTTTTAGAAAGTAAATACCCATTCTCAGCCTCATTTATGAAGCGACCATTAGTGCTAATTATATAAATATTTATATCTATTTAAATAAGTTAATAAATATCTATTGATATTTGTTGATATAAACAAAGCAAAAACATATTATTAAAATTAATTTATGTTACATATATCCATTAATAAATATTTTAAATTCTACACACTTGATCAGATTCTATGGCACTATCAGATCTTGAACCAGCTTTACACTATTGTAATTATCTTGTCTATGGCTATGCTAAAATAGAACCCGCTAATGTTTTACAAGAACCATCGAAAGTGCTTGTGGATGCGAGTACAGGGCGTGATCATTATCGCACAATAACAAATCTAAAAAGTAAATATCCGAATATACGTATACTGCTATCTGTTGGAGGTGATAAGGATATCGATTTGAACTACTTGGAAACCAATAAATATCTACAGATATTAGAAGACGGAAACAACCGTCAAGCATTTGTGGACAGCGCTGTACAGTTACTAAGAACATATGGGTTTGATGGTTTAGATTTATCATGGCAATTTCCAAAGAATCATCCTAGAAAAGTTGTAAGTGGTTTCAAGAAAGTTTGGTCTACAGTCAAAGGCTGGTTTACTAGTACAAAAAAGGTTGACGAGAAGGCAGAAGAACACAAGACACAATTTACGCAATTGACACATGCATTACGAAGTGCCTTTAATTTACATGGTTACCTGCTGACGTTGACTATGTTGCCAAATGTGGACCCAGAACGTAAGTTAATATAAAGTGATAATATAATAATGCAAAAAAATATTTTTAAAATAAGTGTATTTAATTTAATTTTGTTTTTCTCCTCAGTTTTTATAGATATTCCCAGCGTAATAGAGTATGTAAATTTCGTGAATTTGTGCACTTTTGATTTCCAAACACCTGAACGTGATCCTAAAATAGCTGATTATTCTGCACCACTCTATGAAATGTACGAACGCGATCCAACTCACAATATAGAATATAACGTACAATTTTGGCTTAATCGAACAACACAAGCCCATAAAATTAATGTAGGTATAAGCACATTTGGACGTGCTTGGATGATGTCTAAAGATTCTGGTATAACTGGTTACCCACCCATTGATGACACTAGCGGCGCAGCACCTTTGAAAAATTCTACTGCAAATCTGGGTTTACTAAGTTGGCCACAAATATGTACATTAATTCATGCTGATAAAGATTTAACTGGTGAAAAGGCACCATTGAAAAAAGTGGGTGATCCAACCAAACGTTTTGGTACGTATGCCTATCGCTCAGCAGATGATAATGGTAACTACGGTATATGGGTGAGTTATGAGGAACCTGCAACTGCAGCTATTAAAGCAGGTTATGTGCATGCTCGCGAATTAGGTGGTGTAGCACTATTCGATTTAACCAGAGATGATTATAGAGGCGAATGCGCTGGTGAAAGATATCCTATTTTAAGAAGTATCAAATATAAATTGTAAGAGTTATGATTAAAAAAAATAGATATACTTTTTTTTCTCTAAAACTTTTAATATAAATGTGCATATAATTAATCACAATTACTAATCCCGATAAGACAAGCAACCACTTTATTTTAATTGAAAGTATCCTGCAGTCCACATAATGCGTGTCGGCTGCTACACGCCCTGATTTTTTTCACTTCCTTATTATCTTAACCCTTGTAATCTCTAAACAAAGTGCCTCATATTTTTCAGTCGTGTAAGTGCATTATTTTCAGTTAAAACGAAATCGTCTTGTAACTCATTTTGATTGACTAAGACATGAAAGCAACCAAGAACGTAAATAAATATTGATGCCAGATTTTTGTAGCATGAAAGACCTTTCATGTGCGACAACCCTAATTAGTCTTCATCACTGCAACACAGAAACTGAAGTCATTCTTCATTCATTCTTCATTCATCTTGGTATATGTAGTTCAGTGGAATACAATTCTTTTACCTTTTAACAGATGATTTTTATCGATAATTGAAAGGAGTAAGTTTGTTATGAATAAGGTTATAATAATTGAGGTAATGTAAATGACTCTAGAAAAAGACAGTTTTTTAAGAAGATACAAATAATTACTTCAGTAGATGTCAATTCAATTTTTATTCTATTTTAAGCGAAAAGGTCAACTTTTCTTGTCAAAGTCTCTATTAAATTTACTTTTGGTGTTGATAAGCTAGTGATGAATAATTTTACTCTGATTACTAGAAATGACGACTAATTTGTCAGCTGTCAAGTCAAGCAAATTTTAATGGAATAAATGACTCATATCCAGCATTTGAACTATTAAGTAGAAAATTTTTAATTATAATATGTATTGAGCAGAAAATATTGGGTATATTTTGGCCACATATACAAAAGATGAGAGTATACGTTTTAAAAAAGTCAGTCTATATAATTTGGAGAAGTATTTTCTAAAGCAAACGTTTAGATACTGAGTCTTTTTTAGGACTTTCGGGATTATGATTAATATGGCACTAGAAATAGGTCACCATTTTATAACTAATAATTGTTATGGTTATCAATATTTTATTATCCAGTTATATACCATAATAAATATATACTATAATAAATAATATAAATATTATTATATATAATAATAAAATATTGCTTATAAATAAATAAGTATATAATATTGCTTGATTCCTATTAATGCAGAAAGAATAACAATAGCAATGGTACCATTAGCAATAATTAATTTTTGATTGAACTCTTCTTAGACTTCCTAAATCTGAGTTAATATTGGTAATACAATTCGATATTGGTTGTTACGTTCGCCAAGGAATCACCTCTCATATTTAGGTCACTTAAGATGAGATGAGATATTTAAATGCAAGACATTTAAATATTTAAATTATTAGTTTAATTACTTGTTTTATTACTGCTCACAAGTCTGCTTTAGAAACTGCGTTAAGATTTAACAATTGTAATTTTGTTAAAGCTAAAGAGGTTAATCTAAACCTTGTACATCTGCCATACTTTATATATAATATATAATACTATAATGACATATGTATAAAAATGTGTTTAGTATTAATTCAAACTTAAGACACACTCTAAAGAATTATTCAAAAATAAAAAAGTTTGACATTTTTTATAACAATTTACCATGTGGACGGAAAAGACCGAATAGAACTGCAGACTTGGTTGAAGAAATACCCTATCCATGTAGTATACAAATACATAGGTATAAAAAAAACTGTCAAGATTGTCAAGATATTATTGCCAAAAAAATTATAATTATATATCTGAACTCTATATGTCAAAATAATGAGTTGTTATATACATTCATACCATTTTTCTAGAAGAGAACAGAACAGACTTATTTGTAGCGCCCTAAAATTGAGTTATCATCAAATTATAAATTTTGTGACCACCAACATAATTTTAAGGATAATTAATGCAAAGTCACTGCTTTACTGATGGTTTTTTTTATCATTATTTGACATATGGAAAGAGTCTTAATGATGAGTGTACGTGTGGCCTACATATTAAAATAAGACGAAATATATGTAATATATAAAAACAATGAAATTTGAACTCTTAAATCGGTTCAAGTATGCGCCAAGCAAAATCTACTACAAAATCTGGCAAAGTTATAAAAATAAAAAATCGCACGATCATCAATGTAAGAAGGATCACATTCCCTTAACTCATCAACATTAACGTTGAAATCAGTAACATTAAATGTA